ATCTCACAAACACCCAAATGTTCCCAGACCATTTACGTAACGCGTCCCCAAACAACGCGTACGTGATGGAATTTTTCGACGTAACCACCCTTTATACAAACGTGTCGAATGAATCCGCAATGCAAGCCATATACGAGCTTTTAACAGAGCACGAAAGGACCACAAACATGCATGGCTTCTCCATAGGGCAGGTTATGGCTCTCTTGAAAGAGTGCCTAAACTGTTCAAACTTTGATTATCCGGGAACTATTCTGCTCAAATCAGAGGGCTGGCAATGGGACAACGACTAGCACCAACACTTGCTATAGCATTTATGTTTAAAGTTGAGAGCCCAATAATCGAACTCCGACCGGTACTCTACTGTAGATTCATAGATGACTGCTTTGTCGTCTGCTCAACCAAGAGGAGATGGACAAATGCTTTGAATTGCTGAACAGTCAGTCAGAGTACATAAAGTTCACCCGTGAGAAACCGAGAGCAAATTGGCTCCCATTTTTGAACGTTCAGGTCAACTTGTCCGAAAACTTCTAAAAATACAAAATGGTACCCAAAACCAAGCAACAAAAACATCTTGGTTTACTACCTACTTGCCAATCCTTCACGCATAAAACGCGCCCTTCTGAAGAACATGTTTCGAACAGCGACAAGTGTGTGTACAGGAAAAGAACAGAAGGTAGAATCTTCAAGCCTGGCGGGAAAAATAGCCATCACTAATGGCTACGATACGGTAGGAGCTTTTCAGGTTAGATTTAGAGGAAATTCTATGCTCCCAAAGGACAAGTTTGGTGGAAATAGGGTTCCTTTCCTCCTGCCTTCTATCTCTAACGAAATAAGTACAGATATTAAACGCTGCCTAAAAAGAGCAGGTTTGGATGATTCGGTAGCAATAGTTGAAATACCCCCAAAAACACTAAGGGTCAATTAGTCCGCAACCGATTGTATGACCACCTCTGCGAAACCAATGACTGCAAAGTTTGTCCGAACGGCAGAGACGGCGACTGTATGAGATCGGGTATAATTTACTTAATCTCTTGCGAGGCAAGCGGCGATGAGTACATTGGGGAAACGGGTAGACCACTATCTCTCCGTGTAAAAGAGCACATAGCTGGGTTACGCAACTGAGATTCAAAAACTCCACTAGGCACGCACAGGGACCAAAAACATGCTGGAGTAATGTTCGGCGTCAAATTCACGATCCTCGCACAGGAATCAAGAACATCTGCACGTGAAACATTAGAAGCCTTTTGGATACATAACAAAGGCCTGAAAATGAACCGAAAAGAGGAGTGCCTCGTAATCACGCGTGACCTCGAACCATACCTCAGACTGATTTTTCCGGCACGAGTTAGGCACAGCCCACTGATGCACTGACCTTAAGCGGCTGGTCTTCAATTAATAATTGATAGACCCAAGCATCAAAACGGTGAGTGTTTTAAAGTGAAGCTTTTACTATGCGATCCAAAACACATTTCTAACAATTCTGCTAGGGTTATGGAGGTTTTTGGTTTAGTGGAATGTGGATCAATGTGATCTTTTCAGGCTCTTACGAAGGCGACCGCCGAAACGTTAGCATTCAAGCTGCATTACTAACTGTATTGTTGTATGCTTCGCCAATATTCAATAAATGATATCAATAACACCTCGGAACGGCTAAACAGAAGATTGCGCATCAGTTTGAGTCTCCCATGCTTTGAAGAAGGCGAAACCGCCGAAGCCTCAACTATTACATAGTTACTGTGCTGTATTACTATTGTAACCAACAGATGCTATTTTCGTCAACCTTGGATGTCGTTTATTAAGGAAAAATACCGAAGATGACATGACCAAGTAAGCGCGGAGATTAGTCGAATTCGAGGAGCAGAATAACCCGCATAGTAAAAAAAAAAACATACGGATCATTCCAAATGAGTGAAAGTTCAATAACTCATTCATTCTAAGTTTTCCAGGAAACAGATTAACGAAGTATAAAAAGCAATAATCAAGATGTTTTGGACCATTTAATTGAACTCCTGAAAACATGGATGATGAAGCCGCTCATCGCAGCCTTGACGTCACATATAACTTTCCTGAGATTCAAATTTCATCCCCACTCCACATAGTGCGTGTCTATACTCTCTTTACTTTTTTTATAAGTGCTCTTATTTACCGATATTTGTATTTGAAAATGTAGCTTCTTCACTCTATATCCAGGCGATTGGTCTAAATTTTATCTCACATTTGCAAGATGCAGTAAACTCGTTGGTCTTTCGATTGCACGTTCGATAACTTTGAGTGATCTTCGATCCTGCTGCTTAGCGGCGAGATTTCTGACGTATATGGATTCCTTGCGTAGAAAAGGCGGGCAAGTGTGGTGGAGCTTTTTATTGTCTTAATCACTACCTGGATGGTTTCAAATGTTGCTCAGCTCGTTCGCTTTCTTCTGTTAATTTTCGAAGCCAAGTCGTTTATTGCGTTGACTTAGCGACCAAGGTAGGCGTAATTAGTGCGTTATTCGATATTCAGTCCGATGTGCGTTAATGGGGAATACAAAACCAAGCCGTTCATTATTTACATAGCTTTCATGATATTTGGGGAGCTGCGACGAAGTGGCTGTGATTTTCATTGCTGCTCCCGAGAGGCCCAATCCCACCGCAACACTTTTCGGCAGTCAACAGCAAGCGAGTAATTACGGTTGCGGACTGATCTGAAACAGCACTTACTTTTGCGATTTGTTTTAAATGTTGAGCGACAAGAACAGTCGGCGTTAAGTCTTTCAGCAGCATCTCATTGTAGTCTTAAGAGGATCAGCTCTGATGATTGCTCTCAAATTGGTCTTATTCATCATCCCATGAGCGGCCACTGCGTTTCACGCAACATCTTCAAGACTCATTAATGTAGAGTGGCGTGCAAAAACGTTTGCGTCAACTGAGACTTGAACCCGCATCTTACTCTTTCCGGGAGCATGTGCTAAACCGTTGCACCACCAACGCTCGTTGCACTCCACTCTTTCTATTTGCACTCCAAAAATGGAGTGCAGAACGAAGTTTTTCCACACCACTCTGCATTGATGGGTTTATTGTAAGATCATAACACCGCAATACGCGGTCAAATAAAATGAATGCTGAATGATTATCTCCAAGACTCCCGTCTCCATAAGAAACTTTTTGAAACACCATAGCAGTTTACGAACGTTGGCAGTTTCTTGGACCAAATACGTCGGTGATGTTGTGAGCTGTCTTTGCTGCTTTACGACCAGTTTCAAACTTGAATAAGGAAATTGCTCGAACTTCCATTCATCTAACATCTTCTACATAGTCCAAAACAAACAAAAATAAAGCAGCAACTAATATGTCGTCAACAACAACATATAGAGCGGAAAATACGCATTAAAATGATGTGTAACATAACCAAATTTATATATGAATTTATTTTAATATCAAGTGGCAAATTTTGGCAATGCATGAACTGCTATTATATTTGCTTCGGCCCAATACTTTAGTTAGTAAGGAACCACGATTGTGAACATTCGATTCGAAACATCTGCTTTGAAAAAGACGAAACACAACGAAACACTAGCCGCATAAATTCATCTTCATTAGTTTTGTGCTATTGGCTCAACCAACATGGATATTTCACAGATTATTAATGGCAAACCAAAAGAAAGTCAGCTTGCGAATTATTAAGTCGGTGTTGTTTTCCTTGCCGACTAGTACGACTTTATGCATTTACTTTCGACTGTTTGTATAGACTTCGATCAAAACAGTAATAAGCCGGTATTCTGACAACATATTTTAAGCGTTTAATGAAGTCTGTTATAGCACTTGTAAAGTAATAGACACTTGTTTCGCCCTTACAGGCTCATCCGTAGCCTAGAGCCTTTCAGCTGTGTCAATCCCTTGCAGAGTAATATACCCGTAATTATAAGGAATCGACGCCGAATAATTTAAATCGCCGCATGTCGAGTGACATAAATTGCCGACATTGCAATGAGCACAGTCGAACACTGATGACTGATATAGTCACTTCACATGAGGTGATTTAAATAGTTCGGCCTCGATCCCTCATAACTACGAGTACATTCTCCTGCAAGGGATTGACTCAGCTGAAAGGCTCTGTGCTACTGATAAACCTCTAAGGCGAAACACGTTTCTAGCACTCTATAAGTGCCATAACAGACCTCTTTGGAGGGCCAAAGCACAATTTTCATTCTGTCATCCCTAGAGGGATGAGGCGCTTGGTGAGCTTGAGGATGTAACCCACTGTCGATGCAGTGTCACTGAAAAGCTTTTGCAATCACTGCGTAACACATGCGCTGATTTATAGTCAGTATACTGTTAAGTCGCTGGCGTTTGATATCTAGTGAACAATCACTTGTGGCAGTTTCGTAGTTAGTATACCATAAAGCCATTGACAATACATAGCTAGTAAATATCGCTTCCACCACTTGTAGCTTCTATAAAAATCGAAATATTCGAGTTCGAGTCAGAACAGATGAAATTCGTGTATTACTCTCTCTGATTAGACAAGAATATTTTACTTGACCGCCTTTAGCGTTGGTATATGCAATAATATACCCAATGATGTAGAGTGATGTGTAGCGTTGGTATGATGCAATAATATACCCAGTGATGTAGATTGATGTGCAAAGTTTTCGAGTCAATTGGGACTCTAACACACATTTCAACCTATCCAGAGGCACGTGCTCGAACCGTTGCACTACATATTCCTGTTTTGGCACCACTCTTTCTACGTTACAGCGCACCCTCTTCTTAATCGTTTTCGAATCCAAAGTAGTCCCTTCGACTCCTCTGGATTTGCCTTGGCGTAGGTTCATTCTTTAGAGAAGTTTTTAACACGAACACGTAATTTGTTTCTGGGCTTGAGACTAATACCGCTATTTCGCAGCTCGATGTGCAGTAATTCGCCGCATATACGATGAAGTAGGGTAATCTCTGTGCAGGTTGGCAATATTTACCATGTTAGTTGATTAAACGAAGCAAAATTCTTCCATTCTCGGACATCATGGGCAACAAATTTTGAATTCCCTTCAATGAGCAAAGGCACGCTGGGTTTCGATGACGGCGAGCGAGATATAAACTATTTCGAAATTTTCCTTTATTGAGCAAAAATTCGCTTGAGGTACCCTTGTAAGTTCATGGAGACTTACTTGCAATGGACACTCTTTTTACTTATAGATAAAGGATAAAGCTCTTGGCTTTGATCAATTCCTACGGGATGTGATATGCATTTATATTTAATTTTCAATTTCGCTTAAGGTGATTGAATGCATATCTGGCCTTTACAATGACCCGTGGTGGCATCGCGGTGTATCAAGCAGTGCTGCCTATCCTCCTGAACAAGCCTGCGACCAGTCCGATACCATTTCACCGACACCAAAGGGATGGATGACCTGGTGAGCCATGAGCGCTAGTTCAAACCATCGACTTTATGTACGACGTAGAGCACTTCTGACCACTGCGCCACATGTACGTCCACTTCTATAGCTGACACATAATGTATTAATCATATATTAGTGACGTTGTTTTTGAGTATGCCAACCAGGATATCGCCTCTTGCACAATTTAAATGTTCTCGATTATATGGAAGAGCTTTTCTCACAAACATCCGACTGCAGAGCAGAGTTGGTTTTCTCGCCAGCACAACGTGGCAGTGATTACTGATCTGTTTCAAGAATTAATCTCTTGGCTTCCGCGTTGGCGTTTCGCGTGGTATGCGCCGCGGTCGCCGAGTGGGTGAGGCGAGCTCCAATGGCATGTTTTGTGGCAGTTTCCAAAGAAATTAGAATTTTTATTGTCATTAAGAAAAGTTTCATCGTCAGTAGATGGTAGAATATGATAAAGGAGAACTCAAGTAGGCTATCAGTGGCACCAACAGTGGTAATGCCTTCTTGAAAGCATCGCATTTTGTAGTGGAAAAGAAAACTCTTACAAAGATATCACAATTTGAACTATAGTTGAACAATATTATCCTATCTTATTTATATCTGATTTGCATAAATCCATAATTCAACTACATCTATCTTTTATTTATAATGTCGGAAAGAACTCATCGTTATGGAAATTGAATAAATCGTCAAATAATCAATTATATTATCATACTGTGCTTCTGAAAAATAAGTATTACAATGCAAATCTTATAGTTGTATTTCGTCATTCCATACAACACCAAAAAGTGGTCGCAGAGACTGAGAAATAAGACAATGCTTAGTTCAACATGAATGATGCTGAACCCTGCATGCGATACTACTTCATCGACAAATCTCAATGATTCCTTCATCATTTGTTTAATTTAGGATTTGAGACATACTTTATTCTATTGTTTTATGAATAATATCTTTTTATTATTCACTTATTTTGTACTATTACCACATTTCATAGTGATAATTTTGACACTTAACACGCCCATTGATTTCACGCCTCCTACGTATTTCTTTTTAGTAGAACACCCTCGAGGCGATTTCCCGCATCTCTTCCAGCTCCCGCCTCTCCAAATAACTTCAATATGGCCAAATTCAGATTGCTTTGGAGGACCAACAGTGCATTAGAGACCTCGTGGCTATCAACCCCTTTTATACCAAGAGGTTTCATTCCAGAAAGGTCAAATCTTCGCAGACTGTTGTAAAGCTGGTAGTCGTTTGAATTGTGAGAAGCATGTTTAATGAGATATTTTGAATAAAAAGTCTCAGACATCAACAAAATGCAAAATTAGAGTGTAAACTCTCCGCAAAGATAAATATTGTACTGCTTACCATTCGATCATTCAGCATCCATTACCTTTGAAAGTCCACCTTCGGAAGTAGTCGTTATAGAAGATGTGGTGACCTAGAATCCAACCCTACCCTGTAATGGCAGATGGATGTGCTTAAAACGACATAATTATCAGGTGCGAAAAATCGGCCGATCTCCACAAACTGTACATGCGGTATGTTTGAAAGTTGTGATAAGGCGCTCTTACTGATACATTAAGGGGGACGAGAATGCACAAAAAGAGTCTGAAACATGCTCAATCTTTCGGGATATGCCTTTCATGCTAAAACAATAATTGTTATGTGGGCACATCTAATTTTATCAGATTTTGCAAAAGGTGACATCGCCAAAACATCAGGTTTTTGGTTGAACCGTACGTATTACAACAACCTCACGTTTGGCATGTAGGGAAAAATGTGCAATACAATATGTGTTTCGAGGAAAGTTCAACCGCTAGAATATCAGATGGCATAAATGACATAGAATAAACAGGGCAATTCCGACAAAGCTGCATCTACCCGTAGAAATTCGGTCGTACTGGAGTGCACTGGGGTGCACGCAGCCATCACAAAATGTTAAATAGCACAACCACTCTGAGACGCTAACTATTTCATAACCGATTGTATGTCTTGAAATGTTATCAACTGCTTCCAAGGACCTTGTTTTCGAACTTAATATATTCCAAAAGACCGTTTTTAAGTTTTTTCGAGGTTTGGCGTATATCAGTGGCTTGCATACGTCTTGGTAATTTCGTCTGCCTCGTCACAGCCACAGAATATATTGAAATTCCAGAACAAGCTTTTCGAGAAACAGTTCATAGAATGATTCACATGTTCAATATAAAACCGCAAGCCATAAGCTGTAAAGCGATCAGGCAACATTTCATGTGTCTGGTCTTAACAATCTGTGCCGCCCCGTGTGACTCTGACGAAGCACGCGAAGGCGGCGAAACTAGGGTAAGCCACTTACACATACCAAACCTCGATAACGTTCAGCAACAGTCTATAGAATTTTATGACATATATGCGAAAACCAAAAGTGGACAGTTTGCACTTAGGAGTTGTGCATGCGGAAGTTTAACTCGTGTTTAACCCATATGAAAGCGTATGCTACCACTACACTACCGAGATCAGCGTAATGCGCTACAATGGCGGTAAACTAACAACATGTAAATAATTTTTTTGTATTTGTGAATTCAACCCCTATCTTTTCCATCACAGATA